AGCAGGAATTGCAGCAGAGAGGTAGGCAGGGATGCCCCTAGTGGGGGTGAATCAGGGCGACTGCCCTGGGCCCTGCGCTTTGGGTGGCCCTGAGGTCAGTGCCATATAGGCCCTGCCATGCGCTGCCGCCATTGCCACGCGCTGCTGGCTTTGGCCGCTCGCCCCGCTCCAGCTGCTCGCCACCCCCGCCCTGTTGTTCCAGCTCCAGCTGCTCACCATCCCTGCCACCTGTTCCGCTGGCTGTGGCCACTTGCCACTCCCTCTTTCCCCCCAGGCCCCGCACACCCCTAGGGACGGCTCTGGAGGTAGGTACCCATTTTGTGTATTTAACAGAAAACACTTCAGAATCAAAGAATACAGGAAGTCCTGGACTTAAGACGTTTCGAGTTACAATGAACAACACTTACAACATTTATAAATTGACACCCTGTTTCGACTTTCTGACGTCAGTTTCAACTTTATGGTGCTTGGTCCGATGCTGTGCCATGCCAGCAAACAAGCTCACCGTGTCGCCCATCTCCCTGAAAAACATCTGTCTAAACTTTCTTGGACACTTTCTTCAAGAAAGCCGACAAGACTCTAGAAAAACCTGCAGCCAAGACCCCCGAGAAGACTCCAGTCAAGAACCCTTCAAAAAGTCCAACAAAGTCACCTCAAAGAAGTCCTTCCAAATCAATATGATTGCTATTTACCATATAAATACATTAATGTAGCTATATTACTCATCTATAATTGATTGAGTACAAAATTCTGGGGGTTTTTTTGGTGAAAATAGGGCTTGGGCCTTGGTTCAGGAACCAATCCCCCATTTATAACGTTGTTCCTATGAGAAAATTGGTTCCGAGTTACGTTTCGACTTAAGGCGCGGGTTTCAGGAACCAATTGCGTCATAAGTGTGAGGGCTGCCTGTAAAGAATACACTAAAATCAAGATGAAATTGAATAAAACAAATGCCCAGTTACAAATAAGCTATGCCAGCCACATTTAATTACATTTTGGTAGACAAAGGAAAAGTAGAAAACAATATACATTTCAGGTTCAGTAAGCCATTCATTGTAATGGCACATGAAAACCTGTTACTAAGCATTCTAATGCACTATTGCATGGATTAAGATCTAATTTACAATATCAGAAAGTATTCATTAATCATAACACTTAAAAGGAGGCTACCTCAAAAGGTCAGATATTTAGATCGGTCCAATTTAATTTAATTAATAATCTAGACAGAGCTGGAAAATTAGCATTTACCAGCAATCTCAAAACTGGCAAGTGAGTGATGGCACATAATTGGAAAGTTATGTGCAAAGATTGGAACAAGTAGCACGATGCAAAGACATGAAATTCAGAAATCAAAAAGCACAGTTATATTTCCAGGATTAAGATATGATATCTTAATAATAAGAGCTGAATCTCTGGCTACTACCAATTTAGAGAGCACTAAATTGACAAAAAAAAATTGGGACCAATAGAAGATAAATCAAATATGAATCTCATGGCTCTGTGTCATAGTTTCCTGGGGAAAAAAAGGTAGAGCACTTGCATTCTGCCCCTTCAGCTGTGTACACATATTTGTCCTTTTTAGTAGATCTCTTTGTTCCCAGAAAATACATATTACTATGGGCAGTATAAATGCTATTGTCTGGGGGTAGAGTGGGACAGACTAGATGCTCTTAAGGTTATCATGCTGTTCAACATAATAGTCAGGCTCTCTTGGTATCATTATTTTGAGCACCAGTTAGAAACCTGGATTTAGGACAGGTGAGAGAGAGAGACTTTCTGTAAAGGCTCTCCGTTCATCTATACCACATTCATTCAACAGAGGGAAGTACTGACATTTAAAAAGTTTGATTAAGAAATCAATGTATTTATTAAGAAATAAATCAATAGCAAATAATTGATTCTTGTAATATACACATGGACTTCTTGAGTTTGTTTTGTCAAATAGCAATAACCCCAAAAGTCCCCAAAATTATTATTATTATTTTTAAATACCTTCAGCTGTTTAGAAAATAATGCAAAATGAAAATGCTATGACAGAGTTACATATAACATAGCTTTGGAGGTCAGCAAAATTGCTTTAATTTAAAGAAACCATTAACAAAATGGTTTTCACTAAGTTCATTTGACTGACTTAACCAGTCAACTATTGGAAGTTTAGAAAACAGTGCAAGCCATGGTTTTAAATCTCACTTTTGGCAGTGTTGTAGATTACTTGAAAACAAAGAGTCTTCCCGTGAATGTGTTAATTTTTCTTTGTATTGAATATTCAGCCACTAAAGTAATATTTCAATATTTTTATGCAGTTTTCCCTTTTAAAATTTAAATTTTCCACTATAACACTGGCCGTCTAGTCTAAGGATATATTTCCTAACAGAATTTATTTTAAGGATATGAATACATCTGTTGTGTAGGTTCTTAGATTCATATTATTGACAGAAATGTATATTGTATAGATTCGCTATATTCTAAAGCAGTGGTTCTCAACCTTTAGATTCATGGCACCACTGCTGGATAAACTTGCAGCTCCATTCAGAAAATGCCACCTCTTAGTTTTCACTCTTGTTTTCACTGCAGAAAAATAACAAAGCCGTTTTTCAGTTGCATAGAATTCAGAAAGACCACAGCTATGGGTTTATATTTGAAATTTTTGGGTTTATCTTGTGAAGCACTGTTGGGTGCATCCACACACACAGGCACATGTGCTTGCAACAGCTCAAATAGAAGCAGTGCAAATTTGTGCTGGGGCTTTTTGCCTCAGTGCACATGCCCAGACATGTACTTTGGTGTGGTGTAAGTTGTGCCGCTTGGGTCAAAATAACCTTGCCTGGATCCTCCCAGATATACAGCCAAGGGAGCTAGAGCCTGGGGCCAGCACCTGTGCTGGCCAGTTGGTACCTGGGGACACTACTCCTTGTGCCAGCTGGAGTACTGAAGCAGCCCTGAGAGTTCCTTGTACCCTCTACCCACTGCAGCAATCTGGCAGTAGGAGCTGCTACCTGGCTGCGACCTGCTGTGCACCTGCCAGACTGGGATGGGGACTGCACAGACACTAGAGGCATTTGCCCCTCTGGGCCAGCTGCCAGTGGGCTGTGGCTGCAGAGTTGGCTTTTGTGTGGCACTACTGCCATGTGTGCCCCTGTCCAACCATATGGGCAGCTATCACCCGGAAGATGTTCCCGGCGTGGTGGACATGCTTTGAACTGTCAAAGCATGTCCTCCTGGCCCCAATTAGCCACCGTCCAGCTGGGTCCAAGGTGCCAGTTCTGAGCAGGCTCCTCTGCCTGGGTCCTGCCTCCTGCCTCCCTAGCAGGAATTCTGGTGTTCCCTATTTGAAAACTGAAAAATCCCTGGTGGAAAAAATCCCAAAGTCACTCTATAAAATACCCTAAAATTCATTTTCCTCCACAATTAAAACAAAAGAACACTATAAATATATAGAGAGAAAGAGAGACAGTGATCAGTTGGGCAATATTTTATTGATGTATCTATGTGTTAAAGAAATTTGGAAGCCTACCAGTGTCTCTAGCATCATAATAAAATGAATTCTAAATACCTATGTTTTGCTGTTTGCCTTTGGTTTTCTTACCATAGAGCAGTTAGAGCTCCCCTTGACCCCTTTGCTAACTAGGATGTGGGGACACCTGCCCCTGATGCCACGCCTCCTGCCAGCAGGTCTCATCCTGTCTGGCAGCTGGGCACGCAGGGTAGGTGCTGGGGGGATGTGGGGTTTGCAGAAGGGGTGGGAAGAGGGGTGGGGGGATGTGGGTGGCTCTGGAGGGCTGTGGGGTGTATGGGTAGGTGTATGTGAATTGGGGGACTGAAGGGGGGCTGCTC